AACGAATTTTAATCGGAAGTGTACTTTGTGTAGTATATAGATTTAACATAATATTGTAGAAATTCAGAAGTATTTGTATAATAGTGCAATATGAGATTTTTATGTAATTGAATGGTAAACAAGCTGGCGGCTCACGTTATGAACCTCGGTTAAGTGATAACCGATGTCTTTATAGGTACATGAGTAGTTCAAATGGATATCACGTGATGTGACCATTTATGTGTTGATATTCTACAGGACTTAAATGGTATGTCTGTCTATCCTGTGATTACACTGTACTTTAAGTGGAACACGTCTTATAAAGCAAACTGCTTTGGGGCTGAAATAGGTGAGACAGAGGTACAAGTATGGTACGTACTTACTATATTGTAGGTAAATTAACTATTAAATTCATAAACGATTAATATATTTTAGATATGTACTAATAACTCTGTAGAATTCATAAAGCGCCATCTATCTAAGTAGGCCTTGTGTTATCGTAATAGCTCATAAATACACAAATAAATACTATACTATTTAACACCCAGAACGATGCAAACAAATTATTGTTTGTATCATGTATGGATTGATGATAAATTGACCTTGCACCCATCGGAAGTAAAGTAGTGTGCTAAATCGCTAGACCACTGTGACCTACAATAAAATCTATTTAGTCCTTCATCATCCCAAGTACTACTTACACATTAAGGTGCGTGATATACAATACCTGAAATTGATCTAAAATTATATCAGCTAACAAAGGATTGATGAACCCAATTTCAATCACAACCAGTAGTCGATTAGACAAATAAAAATAAAATTGTAAGTTTGTGAGTAGGTTACGTTTGACAAATCGTCTTCATTATTTAAACTCTTCTAGTGACACTAGTGTTAGTCATATGAACATAAGTCAGAAGACTGAATAAAACAACACTTTGTACAAAGTCATCTGTATGATTAAAACCTCAGTCAGTATTTCAGCCGCGAAACAGCTCACATTATAAGCTGCTTTTGGTTGTAGGGTGAGATTAGGTAGAAATTACAGAATAAAAGTATGATAGTCCTCCAGAATGACAATGATTAAATTCAAATTCAAAATATATGGAGCATCATCTTGTTTGTCATTCCAGATACATAACAAAGAAAAACAAAATAAAGTTTTTTTTTATTATGTTTGATAAATATATGTACATTTTGGTATATTTACTGTTCGAATTCGAATTAGTAATTTTGGGTATAGAATCTAAAATATATCAACGGAAGTTGCGTCAAGTTCAAGAAAGGAAATGAACGAAATTTCATGTAAAGTTATGAGAATCTCCTTTGTTTGAAGATGATTGAAGACAAAAAAGGTTTAGTTAAACTTTGTCAATAATTCAGATTTACAATATTCCATGGCAATGTTTATATAAGATTCTATTAAATTACATATATACCCGTCCCATCTACATGGCATAGTATTCGATATAGAAAAAAAAAATGATATTATGGACACGAAATTCCATCATAATATCATATTTTTTTTCATACAAAGAATAATGATAACAAATGCAAATATTCCGTTTCGTGTAAATTAGCCTTTAGAAATAGCTCTCGGCGATTCGGTCATACTATGCTATGATAGTGAGGGATCAATGACCTTATTTACTATTCATATAAGCAACTATTCAGATAGTAGGGAATAAATATTTTTTTATTCAATACAATTTTATTAGATAATGCAAAAAGCGAGATGTTCGAAGTTTGACGTGTAAGTCTGTCTTCCCAAAGTTTCAAACCGAATAGTTTGGAATTATACCATCATTTGGGGAAGGGGATTGTTAGCAATATGGATTAATAGTGCTTGTTAGCCCATTGCTAGCAACGTATCATGTCAGGTTTGTCTGCAAACAGTTCCCCCTGGAAACAATTATGTTAAATTCCTTGTGAATTTGCCAGGATGGGCTAACTGACCTGACCTCACACTCATCTTATCATCCTCCACTGACCCCGCCAGCGTATACCGTTAGCGCAACGAGCACACTCTTCTACTGTCATCCCTTAGAAAAAATTTTGTAACTTATTGTCAAATAGCTGACGTATTTAAGATTTTCTTGGCTAAAATTCATATTATTCATAAATTATGAAGATTTGTGCAGGCATATAAAATTGAATTTGTTTTATAAGCATTTTTTTACTTGTTAGTTAAATAATGAAATACTAGTATACAAATTCATAAAAACAATTTATTCGTACCGTACTATATATATACAGTATGGTATGAACATGCATCAGGGAATGCTTATAATTTTATAGCACCTTATGTATATGAGTGCAAAGCAAAATTATTACGGTCACTTCAAATTCATAACTTACAAGTACGAAACATGACCATAAAGCCGCATTAATGCTAATGCATTTGGGTCGATAACACTTGGGTTTGTTTTGTGTAATGCAGGAAGATTTATTATCTCACAAAATCACTAAACTGGACCAGTGACAGCTTCCTAAAACCCTGGAACCTTTGAATTTTGCAGATTCATGTTTATGTACTGTACTCTATTCATTTATGTTTTTACTGTTCGAGGAAGATTGTTTTATGTAAATTAGTTTGGGAAATAAGATGGGATTCCGTCCTTATCACCATTACCTAGTCGTCGTATATATGACCAGCACTATGACATCAATTTATCGTGTGACGCCCGTGATATAACTCATGCTTTACCGTTCGTACGGACTAAATGTTTTTTAAAGCAACAAGCAGATCTTATTTTGTAAATACATATAAAATATACATTGAAGACATCCAGGCCGATATAAACAATGATGAATACAAATGTTTATACCGTGCGAGGAATTGAACCTGCCACCATCGAAAATTAGCCAGTGTGCTAAATTGCTAGACTACTTAGGATGATATCCTATCTTAGTATGATATCCTAAGTATCATGCTTCTTATTTTAAATTTTCCTGTTTGACGTCTGAATTTCATATAGAGAAGTAATTACGCTAACGACTTTTTACAAAATCGATTATTAATTTAATTTCGAAACATGTATTTCTTGTTTGTAATCAATCGAATTATAAAAGGTATTTGATCAATTTTAAAAACTCTTCTTCACAAAAAGCTATACTGTAATTATCAGCGAACACATAAATTGGTTGGTTGAGAGCGGTGCAAGAACGATCGTCGTCAAGATATTTGGGGTAGGCCTTTGTTCAGCAGCGATCGTCTTCTAGTCATGATGATGATGATGATAAGAAAAATTATTATTCAATAATCGAGCCTCAGTCAATGTATGTACATAGTTACTGCTTTCATCATCAAGTGAATCATTCAGTTCTAAGTCAGAATAATGACATAAAATAAATATCAGCTTGAATTCATTCAAACACTATCTGTTACTAATCAACCATTAGCTATGTCTGAGTAGGTCAGTTTTTTAAATTTCCACTAAGGAAGTGCTTAAGTGACCATTTGACGTCTCTGAATACGGCTGTATATCTCACTCGTGACTGGATTTTTTGAGATGTAAGATGATTAAGTCCGCCACGTTTATACAATCAATGTTTACGTCAAGTTTCATAGCAAGCTGTTCAAATCTTAAGTTGTGAAAATGTAACAAACTATAGACGATAGACATACACACTTTCAGATTAATAATATTTATATATACATTTCTATATATTATAGTATGGGCAGAATGATACTCGTAGATATTATATTATGAGGATTGAACGTTCCAGTACTTATACTACAAGGAAAATAAGAATTTAACTCAGAAAATGAATCTTCTTTTTTATATTATTGAATGGATGTGTCGCTAGGCGATAGCTCTTGACCTTTAGAAGTTATGTAAATTCAGTAAAGGATACATACATAATAGAAAGAAAGAAAGAAAGAAAGAAGGAAAATAATAATTGCATTATAAATGAGGACATAAATTTTTAATATTCACCGTATTAAAAAAAACACTAACGTAATACATAAATGAGTTGCTAGTGAATATTCTATATTAATATTCTGTGTAGAGAGAGCAGATTTTGAAATTCATTCCATTAATGACTATCAAAAGAAAAGATTTGCACCGAAAGTTTCAAAAGAAATCTTATCGGGAAATACTGACTGTAAGGAACCGTAAAACTAAAGGAAACCAACCGTTTTTAGTTGATCTCTTCGAAATATGTTTGCTTGGAATGTTTTAAGTAAAATCTTACATATTACATATTATACATTTTACGATTATCCAATATTCAGGAAATAATCGTAAGTTATAATAAAAGTAATAAAAATAAAAATAATAATATATTCCAATAATAGGGCCACATGGTTTGTTTTTAGAAATGAAAATGGGTTCTAGATTATTATACCTTCATCCGTTTAAGACTACAGTACAAATCAAAATAAAAGGTTAGGTTTTTTATTATATTAATAATAACTTAAAAAATGGGTCCATCATATAGTAAAGTTACAAAATACATGTTATTTGATCGCATTTAAAATGTTTAGTGTGTTTTTGATCGTCTTTCTCTTATTATATGATGTTGTCATAATTTTCATGATAGCACCTTGTTTTTATATCATACCTTTAATTATATTATTATTTCAGATGAGGTAGTTAGTAACATTTTCAATTATTGATATTTTAATTTAAATGTAGCTCTTAACATGTCCAAATTTCTCCGAAGAAATTTTAATTCAACATAGCAGGTGGTTAACGGAATTGCAAGGAGCAAAGGTCGTCTGTATATATGTATAACAGCACTTCAAACATCATATTATATGTGATGCTGATATGTGATGATTATGTGAAATGCTGAGGAATAAAATGTCCTAACTCGTATCCTGTAATTTCACTGTGTTATAACGAAACACATCTTATAAGACTCGGTGACTGAATTAAGTGAGTCTAAACGCAAAGGACTTTATTTAAAGTCAACTTCGGTATAACATCGATATTATCCACTACAAAGAAACACTGGTCTCTTAGCCTTAATTATGTGCCTACTTAAAATATATACATATATGTTGTTTGTTACAGGTATCAAGTATTATTTTTCGTAGTCACATATGCTGTACCAATGTTGGGAATGACGTTCTTTTATTCAGCCATGGGCCGAGTACTATGGGGCTCTAGATCCATAGGAGAATTAACACAAAGGCAGGTCGACTCAATTCGATCCAAAAGGAAGGTACGATATGACATTTTATTTATAAATAAAGTGAATGTACAATTATTTTTCTGTTAATGAATGTGAAATGTGAATAAAAAATGAGGGATGAAATTGTAAACCTTTCACACGTGTAGGAAAATAAAATTGGATTCTGGATGATTTTTTTATAATTATGAGTTTATTTATTATTGTTTATTTATGTCCTTCGTTATACATCTCTAATTTCAATTTTATTACTCATGCACCACTCAGATATATATAAGTCAGTATTATTAATTTGAATATTTATAGAATTGATAATTAACTAACTATTAAATACAATAAAAAATTGTTATATAGATAAACTATATTTGATATTTTTGATAGTTGGTATTTTTGGTAGACATATTTGATAGTTAGTTAATTATTAATTCTATAATTATCCAAATAGAACTAAAAAAATTGTAGCTAAGAACTAACTCAATCATGTCAGCTTTTATTACAAAAACACATATCATAATTGGTATATTTATTTAAGAGATACATTGCACATTGCCACACACTAAACTTATAATATTCCTCTTTTAGTGACGGGGGTTATAAAAAACTAACGCGCTTTTTAGTAGAGGCTAAAAATTTGTAAATAAATAAATAATTCTTAATTTAAGTTAAACTAGTCCTTACTTCTATTTCTTGATTATTAAACATATATAAATATTTCGTAAATTAACTCATTTATAATATTCTGACAAGTCCAGAGTTGTTATTTACAATTACGTAACTTTGTACGACAGTGTTGTTCATCTGTCAGACTTAGTTGGTCGTTTGTTGTAAGGAATTATTTCCTAATATCAAATATGAATGGATCTGTTTAATACATATTTATTTATAATAAATGTAACGATGACCTCCAGCAACCTCATTTGTCTTTGAATATATTATGAATATATTTAGAATATTTCCTTGAATCTGTCTTCATATTCACTGCCCTTAATTTGAGAATTTTACTCATGAATAAGAAGTCTAAGAATAATAAACGCCTAAAGGTAAATTAATCTGTACTTATTTTTGTTTTCTATAACTGTAGTTAATAATACCACCAATGAGTGAACGCACAGTGCAATTAAAGCTACGTTAACTCTTATAAAAGTTGGTACCACTCTTATGAGAATTGAACCAAAATTGATTCTACACAGCAACCTGAAATGGTTCTAAAAATGAAAAACTTGTCCAGTTTCACACATAAATTGCTTTGTTTCAATTGAGGCGGGCTTGAACATGACGATAAAAATGAATTTATCCAAACAATAGCTTGCAAAATTGCCGTGCCAAAAGAATTGGTATCACCGATTCATACTAAAGTTGTTTGTTCCTAGTAAGGCAAGCCTGAGTGAACTGTGAACAGTTTGCCCTATTTTCTTGGTTGTTGTTTTATAATTCGAATTCGGACAGGCGAGGAACATGGGATATTCTGCCAAGTCATAGGTTATCATAAATCTACTATTTCTTGCTTAAATTTGTGTGCATTTCTCTTGGAATAATAGAATTAAAAAAAATAAAATTAATTAACGTTCCATTTTGAAAGTTATAAATATGCATTAAGTAAAAGAAGTCGTCTAATTTCTTTTGGCATGACCCTCGTACACTTGAGTAGGTTTAGGTGAATGACATTTCTGGAATTGTTTCCAAATCCCGATCTATTTTAATTGGTCTTCATTGAACTGTCTGCCTAATATAGAGCAGTCAAGAGTACTTATAGAAAGGGCTTTGAATACGACCCGCATAATTAAACTACGAAAACTAATTGTTGCTACTTGTTTATTAGCTTGTTTATCAAACGACAGTAGTTTACATTTATATGTAGTATGTTGGATTTACGATGCAAATCCCTTTTATAGATTGCCACAAAGAACGACCCTCAGAACAACCTGAATATTATGAAGTTAATCGTATAATAAAGCGTATAAAATAAATCTCGCAAAACAGTAGGATGTTATGAGTTTGAAGATGTTGTGATTTTATAAATATTAGTCTTTATGTGTGGTGTATCAGCCATATTAAATATATAAATCTATTTTGTACAATATTTTTATTCAAAATATAAACTTGTTTCTGTCTGAATTAATGAGGGCTTCTCCCTTATCCTTTTTTAAATCAAAACTTCGTCATTTATAAACAGATTTAGAGTTTTTTCAATTGAAAAGATAGATTTCAGATTCATAATTTAATCTAAACGTCTTTTTTAAATGTATGTTGTTTTTTCTATTATTGTATATCAGTATATGTTTATATATGCTATAAACAAGTATTTGATACTTTATTTCTGTTTCAGGTTGTGAAAATGTTCATTCTAGTAATTGTGATATTTGGTATATGCTGGCTGCCCTACCACACGTACTTCATCTACACTCACTTCAACCCTTCAATATTGTATATGAAATATGTTCAACATGTGTACCTCGGGTTCTACTGGCTAGCCATGGCAAATGCCATGGTAAACCCACTAATTTATTACTGGATGAATGCCAAGTAAGTAATATAGATAACTCTTGTCAACTTCTATTCTCCTAGTTCTTTATAGAGAATTACGTAGGTAGTGGCTAAACCACCCCGCATAAGGTTTTTGTTTCAAAATGGAGAAGACCACTTATTATAATAAACTGCCAGAATCTGCACTAAATCTGACAGAGAGGCAATTGAAATCTTATATTAAACAATTTTTGTGTACGAAAGCCTATTACAGGATAGACGAATTCATAGACGACATCATAATCAAGTAAATAATTAGTTTATTAGCATACAACGTTTTAATTTGCTTTCTTGATTCAATTATTTTAAAAATATGAAAGCGTAGCGGTTTTGTATTGATTGCCGCATGCAATCTTATGTGAAATGTGAATACTATAACCATCAGATGGGAATTGTGAGTAGCTATGACGTGGTCTGGTGTTTTGAGTAGTCATGCTCACTAAAATGTCCAGACTTGTGGCGGCGTGGTGGCCCGGGTCATTGGGCTCCCTAAAATATGGTCGAGCGCAGTGGTGGCTGACTCATCCGTCATACTCGTGAACGGGTGCTGCTTGTGTGGACTGGTCTGCTCTAATCACTATGACTTATTTTCTCTTATTAATTGTTTAACCAGTTGTTGTATATTGAATGTTTTTTCTATTTTATTATTTCATTGAATTAGTGTTAATCGGTGGTTTGTATTCACACACTTAAACTTAAATTGTAAGTAAGAATAAATTATTTAAAAGAGCAACACACAAGTTTCTTGCTTGTTCTTCTTGTGATGAGACAGCATTCCGAATGAGCGGTAGATTAAAAAAAAATGTTATGACTATTCAAAAGTGCTTCAATGTAAGTTTATTTGAATAAATGATTTTCTATTCTATTCTATGAGGTTATAACATTTCCATTACAACTCATAATCCCATCCATTCCTATCTAATCTAATATATACATATTGTAAATACATAGTTTTAATAGATAGCAAAAAAAATTTTAATACAAGCTGTGTATCGCCATTAGTATTTTTTAATTAATTATAATGAACGGTGCTGCACTGTAATCCATTTATAAAAAGATATGTATATGCATCATAGTTCAACATATTTATTTTATAAATGGGTCAAATTAATACTAACATCGAAATTGTTAGGCCGACTTGTCTGTTAGTTCATAGTTATGAAGTCATCTGGAATTGATCTTAATGATTTTCATGCAATTGCTAATAATTCCCTTCCCTTCGATGTGATGCGTATTAAGCACAAGTATTGTAATATAATACAAATAGACATACATTTATCAAATAGAAGTCACGTACAAAAGATATCAATGAAAGTAACTGGCGAAGATACAACTTGTTTTATGATATAAAACCCGCAATTGTAAGTGGATACGAGGCAGTTTATTAGTGAAACTTTATGTCGGTCCTTCACATCGCACAAAGTGAATATAAAGAGATAGAGCCAATTCAGAAGAGTGTTTTATATTAGTCTTAAATTACTTGAGGAAGATAGTTGGTTCCTGGAATATACGGGTCTTTGATCGTTTAGTTGGAAGACAGAATTATAATTAAAATCATTTAAGTATTCCAAGTATCTAGGTAGACAGATCAAAAACTCTAGATGTAGATTTCTTGGTAATAATATATCTAATATGTTAAATACATTAAAATTATATACTGTAACGTTAGTATAAATAATAATAATATCGTAGTGCTAAAGGTATTAATATATGTATAAAAAACATTGAAATGCGGAATATACTATAATTTCTTGATTATATCTACATTTGGATCTGTAGAAAATAAATAAAAGTAAACATATTAATATGTCTAAGAGCTAAATGATTTTGATAAATATGAATAAATAAATATAGTTATTTTTAACCCGATAAAGTATTTAGTACCTACAACTCGATAAATAATATTAGTAATTACTTCACTTATTGTTTTTTCTTGTTAAGTATAAGAAAATTAGTAGAAGCTATGTCATAAAAATATATAGGATACAGATGGTGGGTATTATTATGTTCTCAGTACTATAGTACAGCACTATATATTGTAGCTAAGAAGTCTAAATTCAATGCGATGGAAAGAAAATATTTGTTTATGCTCTAGTATCCTTATAAAATTATATCTTCCTGTACCTAAGTCTTTTCTTTTAGTAGATCCATATGTAGGGAATAAACACTACGAGTAGATATATAAATGTATGTAAAACAGAAAAATGTTATTCTAGTTGTTAAATATTAATTGTTAACATTCCACATATATAATGTACATGAATTAAAATTAAGTTGGAAACATGACAAAACTCACAAGGGATACGAAATAGTTTTCGCTTCGCAAAACTAAATGCATATTTCCCGAAATTAAAGTAACGGCGCCGTATTACTTGCTTTTCAGTGCGGCGGATATAATGTAATAACGTACCGCATTTCACCACCTGAGATCGCATGCATCAAGATGCTGCCTAAAAAGTTTACCCGCGAAATTTTCATAAAATTAAAAGTAATAAATTTAAAAAGAGAACTCGTTTCCCTTGCCAATTTTGTTTTACTTTTTAATAAAGGCTACATATCAACTCGTAGTTAAATTAAAAAAAAGAATATTAAGTACATTCAATGATTTTTATAGGTTCAGGACGTACTTCAGGACAGCTATACTCTGCCGTTGGAGGGACATGCTGCGTCGACGTCGAAAGAGGCCGCTCCCCGAATCACCACCCGACTGCATTTCGCAGTCTGGCAGCCGTTCAAGATCAGGTTTTTACTCGTTAACGTAATTATTAAAGTAATATATTTGGTATCATTAATCAGCACATATAATAATTTGCTATTTCATCGACACTTAATGGACGTTTGTTCCATTACCATACCATAGAGTACCTAGATTTTTTTTTTCTTTATGGTACAGCAAGGTTTTTTATATGTCGATAATCATAAAGTCGCATATACATAGCACTATAATATATTTCTTAATAATAAGACCATCAAATTTTCTTTGTCTGCTGTGCATGAAATGATACTATTTTATATAGAATTATAAATCAAAGAAATTAAAATTTTATTTTAGGATTATCTGCAATTATTTATTGTTGATTTCATCTTATTAGCTTATTAGATTATTATCACTGTTAGTTACAAATTATAGTATATAATCTCGAAAAATCTATAATATTCTCCATAATACAAAGATGGCACTATTATTTGAATTAATATAAAGACATAAAGATTTAATGTTATACGTTTGTTTGTAATGAACGACTCAAGAAATATTATACTTATCCGGTAACGCAATAGATCCGTCATTTATATAAATTTTATTTGTGTACTGAAAAATGAATAAATATATAAAAATTATAGACAGTAATGGCAAATTTTATATTTTATAGCAACATAGACAATTTTATGGTTTATAGAACTGAACCATAGATGAAGTATTAGCTGTTAAACGCTCGTGTACGTTAAATTGTTACTGCGGTCGCGAAGTACTAAAATAGTTTTCAAGTTATTTGGTCGTATCTACACTCTCTGTATCAATATAACCTTACACTGTACGATGCTCAATTTCGTAAGTTAGTAACAGTATATAGGGAAATTATCAAGGAACTGATGGGGTGAATAGTTGATCCTAACAATTGCTAATGTTAATTGTGACGGAATGCAATGTTTGGTTTTTTTGACTTTCGGTCGTTTGACGTGACCTGAAATAATAATAATAATAATAATATATCAGGACCATTCACACAGCGCCATCTAGACCCAAGTTAAGCTAGCTTATGATTGTGTTATGGGTACTACATAACTGATATAAATACATGGATACATTGTTTTTGTAAATAAATACGTATTAAACATAGAAAACACCCATACTGATAATAGCAATCATACTTAAGAATAGAAATGTTTGTACCTTGCGAGGAATCGAACCCATGACCATCGGATAGTAAAGTTCTAAACCACTAGACTACCGAGGCCGTCAAAAATAATTTTATTTGTACAACTTTAATACACAATATTAAAGTACATATACATAACCCTATGCGGCATTAATAGTACCACTTGTTAACCATCGGTGGTACAGATAATAATAGTTGGCGGTGTAAATAATAAAAATTAATAATAAATGATGTAATAAACAATACATATATACCGTACAAAAATGCATATCTAATAATCTAACAACGAAATATCCTATACAACCACTAATTGTTGTAAAAATTAAACAAAAAGAATTTAAAAAGCAAAGAAAGACGTAGTATAATAAGTAAGATAAATTTAGTAAATAAATCTTTATTCTGGAATTTATGCAACTGAGAATATATAAGAACGAATATACAATGCTGCATTAGCAGATGTGGTTAGATAGGGATAATCAATGGGAGTGAAAATGAATATTGATGTGGATTACAATGGGAGCCTTTTAAACTTACACCCATATCAAGTAGACTTGGCATCTGTATGGTGAATTCATGGAGTAATAAGATATGCGTTATCCTTTACTAACCATCTATTTATACAATTTTTTCGTCAGATTGATTAATGTGACTTTTATTGAACATGTTTATATTGAATGAGAGAACACTAGGTATTATACCTACAAATATTATAAATGCCAAATTAACGCCGTCTGTCTGTTTGAAGCGCTCTCACGCCAAAATACTGAAACGATTTAAATAAAATTAGGTACATAAATAGCCTAGATCCTGAGAAAGAACTTAGGCTACTTTTTAAAATAAAAAAGGTTTGTAAGGGGCTGAAACGGGAGATGGAAGGTTGTATGGAAGTATCGTCATTTAAATATAGAGGTTGAATCTTATTTTTAGGTTTTTTGTAGATTGTTTGTTTGTATTGTTAGTATTTTGTATGGAAGAACGATTAATCTTTTTTTTGCTTTCTTTGGGTTTGGTTATTAAATATTTAATGCAATCCAAGGACACGTTTCAAGTCGCTATTTAAGAGGGGGTAAGCGACTAAACGTAAAAAAATCATTTTTTTTCTCAAATATGGATTGAACAATTTTATTTGAACCTTTTGTACATTATTAGGAATACTTTTGATAATGTGTAATTTTTTCATGCAGAAATAAAAAAACAGCTGCCTTCAGAACATCTTGAGAAAAAAACAATTTGAGGTGTTCACCATAACTCGGCCGGAAATTATCTGAAAATTAAAAACCATGAAAATTTGTTAAATTATAATCAAATCTATCTATCCAACGTTTTCTGATATTTTTTTTCATTTAAAAATTTGTGGCGGCCATCTAAATTGTGAATTGTTATTTTCCACGAAAAATTCTGCCATTTTGTGGATGATAAACACCCTTAATGTAAAAAAAAGTGTATAAAGTGTGAAATGAATCATCAAATAAATAAGTTTTTAAATGGCAGTGAACACGGACTTTGAAAAAGTAGTTTTAAAATTTTAGTTTAGTTTAGTTGAGAAATACGCGTCTAAACTTCATGGAAAAAAAAAGAAAAAAAAGGTTTTTTGCAACTTACACAGAATTATCGATTCCAGCTCCATACAGCAGATTTTCTGTAGCATTGTCGATGTCTTCAGTCTCTTTTTAGCAATGAATAAACTGTATACCTGTTTGACAGCTGCACTGAAATCCCGACCGCCAGCAGTTAAAGGCCAGGAGATTAATAAGACAATAACTTTAAGAATATTGCTTATATTATAATTAAAGGATATATTCTTGATATGTTAAAAAACAAATGATTTTTCTTAAGCGAAAACCCTTAGCCCCTCCTAAAGCTAAAGCTAGTGTCCTATATTTTGTAGAGAGCATGGTACTCGAAACTATTACGATCCGGAACTACACATATTGAAATGGGCGGCAATAGCCGTATGTCACGGAACTACGAATGTGACGGTCGACTCGCTCTCCGCCCGGATATATCGTTGATAAACCCGTAAACCGGATATGCACCGTATAAATTAGAATGTGCCGGGTCAAATTTTAGGAGTGGCCTAAATAGCGCCGTGATTGAGTTCTGAAATAATACACAAATTTTGTGGAATGGTAATACCATTACACAAAGTTTGTATATTATTTCATACTGATTAAATTCGTAGAAAAAAACTGTCGTTGTATTTCAATAGTTGATATAAAAATCATGAAAAAGACTAAACATGAAAATTAAATCTGGATAATGAGAACGGTTATTTAGACGTTTTGGATTCCGATCCGGATTTTGTACAAACTGTGAGGAATGACAAAAATTGAAATCAACCCATAAAATGCATTTCTAATGAATCAATAAAATAAAACTTTTGTGTTTACAGTAATATGGTGAAATATATTACTAATTCAATTGTAGATTTTAAAGTCATCCGCGTCAGTACCTTTGTCTCACCTATTTTAGCCGTGAGGCAGCTTGCTTTGTGTTGTTTCGGTTGAACGGTGAGAAAACCGGGTCAAATTTTAGGAGTGGCACCCTAAATACCATGATAAGGGTCTCTTCATATCAGGTCAGGAGATGGGATCGTTACTAGTAGAGAATAGTGGTCTAATTATTAGTAATATACGAGTATATACTACGTCGACCTACGCGGCCCCCTGGACACGATCGTTATTTTCAGTTTCAATTAATTCCAGTTAATTTCTGGTGAATACGATATCTAATTCATTTAACTGAACTTATGACCTGACGTAATGTTCAACATATGATTCTCTAATACGGATGTGCCATTATCTAACATATAAAATTTTCTAACAAAATTCCTCCGAAATTTCATCGATTCTTATGAAATTTAGGGTTGTGGGAGACCTGAATGTACACGCAACATTCAGGTCTGAGACAACCCTAAATTTTCACTCTTTTTACATCAACCATTATTTTAAAATAGCAATATTAAGTACTTCAATTTACTTATATGATAAAACATATTTATGGATCAGTCTAGTAATCCATAAATTATAGCACGGGACCTAAACTAACAAAATGTATAACTCATTAAATTGTACTAACTGAATTTCAGGCACGAATTTTTATATTTTGTAATAAATTACGTAGGTTTATTAAGGGATTCTTGAAAATACATAAAGATATTTAATAATAAGTTATTTGAAATTTTAATATTATATTTAATAGTATATAGGATATAAACTAAAACAAAAATATAATTGTATAGTTTCATGTATTATTATTAAGTAAATAAAACTTGTAGGATGTATAACATTATATAAGTAGAAATGTAAAATGTATTTTCTATGGAAATTGTTTTATTAAGTTTAATGCCTCTGGCATTATGAAATAGTTGAATGGGATCATACACCTCGCAGATTCTGTTCTGTTCTTAAACCATCTTTTCATCCCCATTCCTTTTATATGAATGTTTAAATATTTGGGAAAGTATTTGATTTTTAAAATTAATTTAAAGTGTTCTTGAATATAAGTTCTTTTTGAATGGCGTTATTTTTATATTATTTCTCGTCTTACACTAAAAATACAATTAAATATAGGTACAGCGTAAAAATATTTAAAAACAGTTCCTTTAAATATTGTTTTCGCTAAATCTAGGACAAAAGATCAAGACTGGTGACGCTGTATTTTTACGAACAGAAAAGAATCAGGAAGTACTTAAACGTATTTCTACTCTTGTGAAAACGTGTGGTATAGTGTAGTAAAGTTTTCGAAAACGTGTGGTGTAGTTGTACCTATACATCCAGCGATCTGCACTTTATCTTCAGTGCACTCTGTGAACTCACTAAAGTACTTTTAAATGGAACCACTGCATCCTTATTGCATCGCTGT